TATAAGTTGTCTTGGCTATGTCGACATTCTTGACTTTCAACTGGTAGTACCTTGACCTCAAATATATCTTAGAGAACATATACACCCCTTTAAGATGGTCGAAGAGATCGTATATCCTAGGAAGAGGGTAGCGTTTCTTGATGGTCAACTTATTCAATTGCCTATAGTCAATATACAACCTCATAGATCCATCATTCTTCTTAACAAAGAGGACAAGTACTCCCCAAGGAGAAACACTTGGTCGGATGAAACCCTTCTCCAAAAACTCTTGGATCTGATTCTTTAACTCTTTTAGCTCTGTCGGTGCCATGCGGTAGGGAGCAATGGACACTGGTGCTGAGCATGGTAACACTTCAATGCTAAACTCAACCTCTTGATCATGTGACAACCTTGATAGATCTTTTGGAAACACATCAGAAAACTCTTGTACCATGCAAATATCTTCTAGTGTTAAAAGTGCAACTCTAGTGTCCATAATGTGAGCAAAGAAGTCTTTGCACCCTCGACTAATTAATCTCTAAGCTACTACCACATAAACAACCTTGGTAGGCCAACTGAACTTCTCACTAGTAATTACCATTTTAGTGACATTATCTTTCCTGAGTTTGAGTTGCCTCGCCTTGTACTTCAAACTAGCAACATGCTCTGAAAGTTAATCCATGCCCAAAATCACATTGAACTCTCAAAACGAAAACTCCATTAAGTCAACTAAGATGGTTTAAACCTAAATTTATACTGAGAAACGACAATGAATGTTATCAAAAAGGACATCTAACCCCATGAGACTAGACACCTAAACCCCTATTTAAATCCTCATTTGGAATATTCCTTTCTCAGACCAGGTCACAACATATGTAGGAATAGGTGGAACCCGAATCTACTAAAGTAGTGACAGGAATAGAAAATACTGTAAATGTACCTAAAATCACATCTGTCACATTGAAATCCTCCTAAGCTCGAACGACATATTGACGAGAAGCCACTTTAAGCTCTAAACCCACTACAAACCTTACAGTACCCCGATTAAACTTCCCCGATGTAACCCCACCACCTCTCAAAGACCCTCGACCTCGTTGAACAGATGCAGTTAACCTCTATGTCGAAGCGGGGGCTACACCCTAGGCCCTAGGATAATCCCTGATGAATTTCTCAAATAAACCATAGATGAAGAAACCTTCGGACACTCAAAGGAACTCACTGGGATGTCTCCCATCATAAGTGAGGTACATTAGGTGGAATAGAGTCCACTCTGACCTGTTGACACCTAATCTAGAAGATGACAACAAGGGTCTTCTATGAGGGACGGATCTACCCAAATAATCGAAACTTTAAACCAGGCCCCTAGATAAACAATGACCTCCATGAGAACCCTTGGCTCTCTTATTTAATGACTAAGAGGGTCTAGTTGACTTTGGAACCCTCCGACTCTATCCTACCTTATCGCTTGTATCTTGCGCTCTCCTACTCAATATTCTCTCAACTACTTTTGCTTGTAAGGTCTCTCACTAATCTATCGCGTCACAATTCAAAAGGGCGGTGAAGAATTCCAACTTGCCTTTAAGAGTGAGGTGTAATTGGCGCAACGTATGGAGAGTCTCTCTATGCCACTAGCCTACATTGATGGGGTCATCGTCCTCGGAATCATAAAAGTTAGTGGTCTTGTACCCTAAAGATAAGATCAATATCCTATGAATTGGTATCAATACTTTTGACCCCTTAGTACCTTATTTTGAACCATCTGAAGAACAATATTGGTATTATTCCTTTAGTACAGATACTCAGGCCCATAATACCCTATTTTAGGCATAAAGATATCTCGAGACTTTACCCATTCTCCCTCATATGTTCACTAAGTAAAGTTTAAGCCTTATGAGAGTTATTAGAGGTTAAAAGAAGTTATCTTTCATGCTTAAAAATCATAAGCATATCTAATGAACTACATATGGTATAGACAAGTTATAAATGTGTTAACTTAGTGCTAGGTTGTTGGAAAAACGTCCTTATTCAACCAAGAACCGATTTCTCCTTGCCCTTGGTCTTAGAACTTTCTCTAATCTCGTTCACTAATCATGACGAAGGAAATGAGTTATTAACCCATTTAGGAGCTTAAGATAAGGTTAGGAACATTTCCTAGAGTTTAAATCTATAAAAAAATGGTTTGGACTTCATGTTTTCTTAAACCCCCTCTAAACCCCCCACTTAGGTCACTTGTCCAAACCTTTATTTAAAAATCTTGAATAGAAGAAAGTGAGGAATATATTACAACTCATACCTTGGTGTTTACAAATTGAACTTGTAAGAGTTCAAAGCTCCAAACTTTGATTGCTCTTTGGAGAAGAAGAATAAGATGGAGAATAAGAAAGAAGACCAGGAAGTGTGGAAAAAAAGAGAAGGAATAAATCAGATGTGATATCATCCCAATTAATGGGATTTCACCTTTCAAAATAAAAATGGTGTCATTGTTCCCTCAATCCTCATTCTTTCAAATTTAAAATAAAGTCACCCCTTTTCGTAATATTTATGCTTTAACCAAGTCCAAGTCCATTCAAACTTGGATAAGGCTTCATACAATCCAGTAAATTTGTATAAGGTCATCCCGGGTTAACTCGAACTCATAACTCAAGATTTGAGGTGTTATATAACTGTTTAAGGGATTTTTCAACCAGATGGTATGATCATAACAATCAAGGGTAAAAAACTCCACTACTGCAATAGGGAATGAACTAGACCAAGCTTGATTCAAAAAAAGTGTATCAAGCTTCCTAGACAAAGCAACCTCTTTCATTCAATTACACCAAGTAAATAAAGAGCTTAAAAAAGATTGGTTAACTACATCCATACTTTTCTGACAATCCAAAAGCTCATACATCGCTCTAGTAATACCCTAGCTTCCATCAAAATCAAAACTCTCACTAGGGTGATTAATGATGTTAAAATCACCAGCAATAGCCCAAGGAAAATCTCCAATACTATCTTTAGAAAAGATTAAATCTCTTCAAATACCCATTCTTCCTTCTTTATCATTACTCCCATAGATAAAAAAGAAGAAAAATAATTTATCCCATTTTTTCAACCAATAATGAATCACTTGATCAGATTGACTAACCACATCAATCGTCCAACCACCTCTGTACAAAACCCAAAATCGACCAAGTATTCCTGTAATTATGAAGTAAACTCTAGCCATCAAAACTACCTTGAACAATCACACCAATATTTTCTTTTGGATCCTAGTTTCTATTAGACAAAGCACTTCCACATCTAAACATCTAACTAATCTAAGAACTCTTCTCTACTTAGAGGGGTCATTGAGCCCTCTAACATTCCAAAAAAGCACATTCGTTATAAAAAGGGGAAAGAACCACCCTTAGAATCTTGATTTAACTTACCATATTTCCTATGTTTCATCTTATTTTGACCCTTAGCCTTAGCTTTAGGCTTCAACTACTCCATTAACTCTGCCACCCCCTTTGCAACAATCATTTTTTCATGGAGAATTACCCTTAACTGCTTGGTTTTCATCAACAACAACCAATAAATCAAATTTATTAGAACTCTTTACCGCCAAATTCCCTAAAACAACACCATCAACCATAGTACCAACCACAACAGCACTAGGACCTACCCCTACATCAAGAACCACCCTAGAACTATCAATCACAGTATCATAACACACAAGGTCTGCACTTTGTAAAACTGTATATGTTGCGCACCTAGCCTTCATCAAAATAGTGCTATCAAGAACATTAACATATTGTCTAACCTCAATATTATGCTCAACCACAAAACCAACACAAACACTGTGTGATTTGTCATTTACCATTTCCATGGGAGAAACAACCTTCATAATACACTTATCTTCAGAGTGACCAAAGATAGAACAATGACTACACCATGAAGAAGACCAATCCAATTCCACACCTCTATAACTTTCATCTCTCCCAACTCCACCTTTATAGAGCTTGGAGGAGAAAACTTAGCATCGACCTAGACATAAATTTTTGCATACTCCAATTTTTGTTTTAAAGTAGTCACCTTATCCATATACAATGACTTCCTGCCAAATAACTTAAACCTTGTTTTGAAAAGAGTTCCAAATGGACATGCCATAATCGAAACCAAAGTGGAGTAGTATCCAGATTAAACACCTCATATAGTAAATTAGGTGACCATTTCCACATCATAATTGATTTTTGTTGAATATGCCAAGGACCTGACTCTAATACCCAACCACGAACTTACAAAGATAAAAAGTTGATGATATATACACTCGGGGCCAAAAATCTTATTTCAACATAACCCTCCCTACCCTATAACTGATCAACAGTCCTTTGAAACACAATAAGAACGGTGATATACCATAAAAAATCATAATTAAAGAATTTCCCCATTTCTTACCACCATCTATCAACACATCTTGAGGATGTTTAACTAAGATTTTACCATTTAATTCCACATGAGGGAAATAGCTCAACGGCTAATCAAGAAATAAAGATTTCTAATTAGGAATCGTACATAACTCATCAACAGAAGCTTTCACGCCATTCTTTATCATTTCCCAACTTCCATAGCTTCCAAATCCACAATGGTGGAAAATCAACCAAATAAAAATCTCCAAGGGCATAAGATTCTGATTCTCCAACCACACCCAAAACTACTATGAGCAGAGACACTAGAAGAAAGAAAAAAACACTTAAACAAGCCTCACAATCCCAAAAGAACAGCAAAATTAGAAAAATGGTAAAGTATAGTAATGGTCACTGAACTTTTCTAAAGCTTTCATTTAGATCCCTCAACTTTTAAAACTTGCAATACAATACATTTAGTATGTTTACAATATGGTTCCCAACGTAACTGTTGGGGGACCATATTGCAAATAGACTAAATGTTAGGGTACTGTATTACAAGTTTTAAAAGTTGGGGGACCTAAATGAAAGCTTTAGAAAAGTACAATGACCATTACTATACTTTACCCTAAGAAATATGTTAAAGGCAATCAAATGCCTACATTTTCCATAATTTACGATATGATTACGAACTATGAAACATTCAAATTTCAAGCCGTATATACTTACGCAATTGAAAGTAATTGGAGCTCCAGGTCCTATAAAAGAAATTATAAACAACAAAAGTAGTACATTATTTAATTTACGAATTATGGAAAACCAATAGGAATAACCCAATACACAGCTGATTTTGACATTGCATACCGATCTCGAGATCATGCCATGGATGAGCAGCAACAGCCCTCTGGGTTAACGATGAAAGAATCCTTTCATTCAAAGGAGCATGTGAAGAGTTAGTGAGAGTTACTGGCAGAAGACTTGGTTGGAGTCTCAATAGTTAGAGCCATAACTGTAAGTTAAAACAATGTATCAACAACTACAAAGATTGTTGAATCAAATTAACCACACTAAAAGTTCTTTCTCATGTTAGAAGTAATAAGCAACGAAGATAAAAAATGATACAAAAATGTCACAGTATCTGTTACAATTTTTAAAATTTTCCTTCCATAGAATATTGCTTAACTAATCAAATTCTTGTAAAACTATGCAACCAAAACAAAATCATTGACACACATCGGATAAAATTCGTTTCACTTTCACAAAACTTTCGAAGCAAACTTCTTCACATAAATATTCTACAGTCGATTTTCCAAAAAACTGTGGATTGTGTATCAAATAAATGTACGTGTATAACTTAACAAACGTATATCTACAGAACTATTGCCACTTAAATCAACACAAAATACAATATTTGATCAAAAACAACTGGTACATGCATCACAAGGCTCACATCAAAGGAAGAAGTAATAACTCTTCCAAATGATCTACTCTTCCAAATGATCTACTCGTCCAAGCATTGGAAAAGAAGATCAGAACAGAAGCAAACTTGAGACAACTTTTTGAATGGGATCCTGATATTTTTTTGTCAAGTTGTCTTCTGTAGATACGACCTTATATCTCTTATCTTTCCAATGGTTTTTGAATCGCATCAATCCGATATCGAAAACTCAAGATATGTCCATTTTACTGAAGATGGTGCATGCAGGAAATCCTATGCGGGATTAATACGTAATTTTGTAAATATTACGAATTTTCAATATTTATATTGATTATTTGTAATATAATTTAATATAGGATGAAGGATTATCTTATAGGATTAGATTTATTATTTTATTAGGAATTAAGGTTGGGTTAAAACAATATTTTTAGTTATTATTATTTTATTAGGAATTAGAGTTAAGACATGTTTAGTTTATTATTATTTTATTCTTTAGTTATTTAGGACCTTTAGAACTCAGCCCCTATATAAAGGAGGCTTTATTCAACTTTGTAAATCGGATTTCTTTGATTAATAATACAACGAGAGTTCGTTTTTCCAAGTGTTGATTGCCTTGTGCCTTCGAAGCTTCTTCTCCTGGAGTTCTTTCAAGTTCTTGTGAGGGAGATTAATCTTCGCACTCCAATTTGCTTTTTCATTGCGACTAGGAGGGTTGGTTAGAGCCATATTATCGTGTTTACCTTTTCATTGCGACTAGGAGTGCTCGATACGACCTTTGCCATCCACCTTCACAAGGGAGATCTTTTGATTTCTTGATTATCATACTTTTATTTTTAAGTTCTTTATCTTTTGTTTATCTCGTTCTAATCTTGTTTTTCACCTTGTTTCCAGCATCTAAAAGAAACCCTAAGAACCCGACTTGAATGCCGCCACCTTCCCCTATTCTTTCCCCTTTGTTCTTCATCGAGTCTAGAGCTTTCTAGGTTTGATTCTTCACCAAGAGAAACGTTCATTAACCCGCCACCGCTTCCCTATCAATTAGTATTAGATTTGGGCCAATTCTTGGAAAGAAGAAAGCAATCTTGCTTGTTTTTGCACACAAAACCGTCAAGGTACCCTAACGGAGTTAGTTCGCAGAAGATTCATTGTTTTAGGTTCTTTTTATTTAATTTTAATTTAGATTCAAATCCTTCTTATTAGTTTTCTATTTAAAAAAAACAAAAAAGGCAAAAAAACAAAATAAAAAAAACAAAAAAATCCAAAATTTCAAAAGAAAATTGAAAATGAAGGTATTTAGGGCTGATTTCCTCCAGATATCATATTCATCCTAATAGAAATCTCCAGTCCAAAATTCACCCAAATCGGAGTTCATTAGAACCTTCAAATACATCCTTCAAGTTTCCTCGGCAGATTCGGTTTAGGATCTTGTCGAATTTATTGAACATTCTACATAAGGAATTTTGTGGTGAAAATTTCCATATTTGAACTTCATATATTGAAGATAATTTAAACAAAAAATCAGAATTTTTGGAGATAAAAAAAACCTTCGAACAAAGCGATCAAGAAAAGTAGATTGTTTGAGAACTCGTCGTTCAACAGAGTCTACTGGATACTACTGAAGGTATTTGGTTCTGAAATTTTACAGGTGGTTTCTTGACACATCGAAAGACATTCAAGAATTTTTCCAAAATTTTAGGACATTGGTAACACCCTCAAAAACGTTGCTCAAGTTGATCCAGTGTTTTTCAGGTTTCTGGGTTGGTTCTTTTTTTCTTTGACTCCTTTAGGTTATTTTGTTTTTCCTTTTATTGTTCTTTTGCATTATCTAACACATTTTATTTCTTGTGTTAGTAGGACTAAAGAGTTTGTATACTTCTTCCTTCTTTGTGTTCTCGTTCTCTTGGAGTCTAACCCTTGTTTGGCCTCTTAGAGCTTTTAGGTTTTCTTATCACTTTTGCTAGTAATCAAACTCCGATACGACCTGTGGAAGACTACTTGGTAAAGTGAGTTTTAAAGAGTACAAGATCGGCTTACTTGCCTCTCGTTGTGTTACTTTCTTGGAGTGACTTGTGAGGTTTCTTGCTTTGTTTAACTTTCTTTCTTTTATTTTTATTTTACTTTAAAATTTTCTTTCGAGTGTTATGATTTCAGGATGGGCGACAATAACAACAAGACACTTACGGCTATCTTAGCCACACTTGCACGACTTACGACTCAAGTTTAAAGATTTGATGAACTTACCAATACCATGAGAGAACGACAAGAATCATAACTAGATCTATCAAACCCAAATCCAAGAACAAACAATGCTGAACTTTTGGTACCCAGGCAAGAACAACCACGTTTCCAAGCACCCGAACTCTTTGCAAAACCAAAGTTCATGATCCCGTCTTTCAAAGGAGACAACGATCCGGACAGGTACATCGATTGGGAAGGAAAAGTTGATCTCATGTTCACATACCATTGCTACCCCCAAGCTAAACAAGTTCCCCTTATCACTATACAATTCGAAGGATATGCTCGAACTTGGTGGATGCAAACAAGGAAAAAGATCCATAACTTCCAAATTCCAACGATCACTTCTTGGATCGACCTCAAACAAACCATGAGGAATCGATTCCTACCGACACATTATACACGAGAAGTTAAACTACAACTACACCGACTTCGGCAAGGTAGAAGTTCAATTGAAGACTACTACAAGGAGATGCAGTCCTTACTCAATAGGGCTAACATAAACGAAAAAGAAGAGGTCACCGTGTGAAGATTCATATTCGGCTTGAACTCAAACATCGCTGATCTTCTTGACCTCCATGGGTACGAAAACCTTGAAGATACACTAAAGAAAACAATGACAATTGAAGCACAAATCTAAAGGAGATTCTGATTCAGAGAACAATACGAAGGTACTTCATCCTCTTACGAAGGTAATCCTTCAAATCCTTCCTCATCTTCAACTCCATCTTCTCTAAAAAAGCCAAGAGATGACAAACCTGACAAGGAGAAAGAATGACCAGTAAAGAATGACACACTTCCAACCCCTAAAGATAAAATGATAATTTGTGAGGAGGTAAGGAAAGCAAAAAAAAAAAAAAGAAAAAAATGAGAAAGAGGCAAAATCAAAAGAGGTCACTAGTTACAAAAGCCAAAAGAATAATGATTCATGGGTGGTGAGTGAACCTAAATGTGAGAAGAAAAGAGTAACTCAAAATCAATGTGTGAGCACAAAAGAATTGAGAGAGAACCTTCTTTACAAATAACCTTCCATCCTTGTTCACTTTAGGGAATCAATTTCGATTTCTAACATTAACAAGGATTTGCCTAGTGTGTTTTCATCTTTGTTACAGGATTTTCAAGAAGTGTTAGGTGATTCACCTAATGAATTACCATCGAAATGAAGAAAGCAACACAAAACCAATCTAATTCAAGGTTCCATCATACCTCGTCAAACATACAATATCGAAGAAACCAAAGAGTTAGAATTGTTACGAAAAGGCTACATCTAGGAAAGCCTTAGTTCGGACGCCATCTTAATGACGAAAAATGATTTGAACAACTCCACAGGCTTTATAGTTCGTGCACAGGAAATGTAACACCCCCAACCCGTACCAGACCCGGATACGAGTCTGAGGTGTCACATTGACTTTTCAAACTTTGACTCTTGACAAAATTCAAAGAAAATTTAAAACTTTCATTAAAGTAAAAGCAGTTTAGTTACATAATTTGACCACAATAACCAAAATCGATCAGAGCATATTTAACTCAATCAATTAGTACATGGCAACTATATTCAAAATAAAAAAATCATTTAACTCATCTATTTTCTGATCTTAAATCTTGTAAGGGAGATGCTGACCTGTATTGCTCCTCACAGCTTCTATATTCACTTTCGGTAACCTGCGGGTGAAACACTCACACGCTAAGTCGATGACTTAGTGAGGCATAAAGAAAACACATCTAATGGAATTCTTACCCACTAATCATGCATGACTGTTTTATGCTATCAAATTATACAACTCATTTACATATACATCAACATATATTCATGTATATTATGTAACAGATACCAAAACCCCTATCACACATATATCATATCATGCAATTCATATCACACATCATATACATATATCATATACATTGTTCTCATATCACCAACCTGTTTATCCTTACTAATTCCCTTGTCATTACTTCAATTCCGTCATATGAGCATATAATGAATATAAACATATTATATATATTTTAATATGCCACAATACATTACTAATTTCTATAATCATATAATACATAAACGCATAGCATCTCATATCACCATGACATATATGCACTTCTACCATGTCACGAGAAATACACATATCATTATATCAAATTATGTTCTCTTTTCAAAGCCCATGTACACATGTGAGAACTATAGATATGTGAGTCTATAGAGGTTGTGCACTATGCTGTCACCACAGCTCGTATAATTGCACCGAAGTACCACGTAGAATTGCATCGGAGTGCCGCGTAGAATGGCACCGTAGTGCCACATAATAATGTCCATAAGGACCACATATCATTCCTTAAGAATCATA